ACATTGTTGAATTTATCTTTATGAATTTCAAATTATACACAGCACTGTAATCTCAAGCATCGTACAGTTCCATAAGTAAAGTAACTCTTCTTCTTACCGTTTCCTGGCAGGCTGTAGGTATGTTTTTGGTTAGTGTATTGGTGTTTTTGGTTCAGTATGTTAGTGTATTCTGAATAAATTGTAATATTTAGTTAGAAATAGAATGGAATTGCAATAGTTAGGAATGGAATTAGAAATTGTAATAGAAATTAAATTAATTGTAAAAGANAACATTGTTGAATTTATCTTTATGAATTTCAAATTATACACAGCACTGTAATCTCAAGCATCGTACAGTTCCATAAGTAAAGTATCTCTTCTTCTTACCGTTTCCTGGCAGGCTGTAGGTATGTTTTTGGTTAGTGTATTGGTGTTTTTGGTTCAGTATGTTAGTGTATTCTGAATAAATTGTAATATTTAGTTAGAAATAGAATGGAATTGCAATAGTTAGGAATGGAATTAGAAATTGTAATAGAAATTAAATTAATTGTAAAAGATAAGAGCAAATGCCAAAAAACATGTGAACTCAGTTGTAGGCATTTTTTAGCAATCAGCTGATAGTGTTTTGCTTAGAAAACTTCACGATGATCTCAAGCTTTGAAGTGACACAAAAGACGGTGAGGCACGTGATCTTAATTTTATTTCTAGATTAAGTAATTTTCCAAAGATATTTGCATTTATTTTCACGACGCAAGTGAATAAAAAATACAAACTATAACAGGGAAAAAATTAAAAAATAACATATTTTTTTTAATTGAATTTTTATTAAAGAAAAGAATTAAGCTTTTAACGACGAAAATCCATGGAAAAATAAAAATGGGAATGATTAAATGAAAAGGAGGAGGCATTTTTGTGNGGTGAACTCAGTTGTAGGCATTTTTTAGCAATCAGCTGATAGTGTTTTACTTAGAAAACTTCACGATGATCTCAAGCTTTGAAGTGACACAAAAGACGGTGAGGCACGTGATCTTAATTTTATTTCTAGATTAAGTCATTTTCCAAAGATATTTGCATTTATTTTCACGACGCAAGTGAATAAAAAATACAAACTATAACAGGGAAAAAATTAAAAAATAACAGATTTTTTTAATTGAATTTTTATTAAAGAAAAGAATTAAGCTTTTAACGACGAAAATCCATAGAAAAATAAAAATGGGAATGATTAAATGAAAAGGAGGAGGCATTTTTGTGTGCGAGATACATACATACTATGTTTGTACATATGTATGAGCAGGAAAGAATGTTACTCATACGCCTGCACGGATATGGCCATGATACTTTTGTAAAAGATCAGCCTTTATATAAATGAAAACAATTTACAAAAAAACTGCTATTTTTTAATTTGCTTCCTGTTAGAGTTTGCATTTCTTTATTCACGATGCAAATTAAAACAAAAAAAATACCTTTGAAAAATTACCTGCTCTGGGAAAAAGTAACAAATCCGTAATACATTACACAAAACTAAGTGTTTTTTTTGTAATTTCAGCGTCACTGCAGTGTAATTATATGTCATTAAAATTCTAATATTTACGTTTGCCGTATTTACAGCGATTTTCGAAAAATTATGATGAACAAATTTTGCACCTACAAAAATATTACCGTATCTTCACGTTCTTCAGTAATTCAGCCGGTGTTGCATCCTGATCAAAAGCAACCTATCTACCCTGGCGTATACGCCGTTTTCTTCACCGTTTGAGGCCTTCGATCGTATTTTAGAAAAATGTGTGCAAGGATAGTCTGATTCCCGAACCCCGACACTATTTTACAGAGTTATACAGTCACACAATCTGGAATCAGACATTTCTTTCCTTATGCGCTGAGCACGAATTAAAAGTCCGTTTTGTTCCATTACATTAGGATTTTTTCCTAACCCCAAAAAACCTGGCAGTGGCTGTGCCATCGCTTATTTCCTATTTTTAACCCCAAAAAACCTGGCAGTGGCTGTGCCATCGCTTATTTCCTATTTCCCTTTTAGTAGTTCTGAAAATTCTTATATAAGTATTTCTTTTACCTATATATGTTCTTGTGTGCGGTTCTAAAAATACTCTTTGAGCACTCCTTATAATATGGAAAACATTCACCAGGCGCTTTGTGTCCTTCTCCTATCTCTTGAGCACGCACATATTCAGGTATAAGATCAGCGAAGGGTGAGCTAGTAGCGCTGTATTAAGAACAAATAGTAAGTTTTTTCTGTGATATTTTACTTCTAAGTTTAACTTACGTTAAAAAAAGTTTCGCTATTTCACCGAACACGCCATAATGTTCAATTCTCTGGGAGTGCACTTCACATATGGTACGTAGTAAGCATGCCTTGCCATTAATACCGAATGTGCCCAATAAATCTTCTAACGCTCCATAGAGTAAAACTCTGCAAAATATAGAGTAATTATGTTGGAGTATAAATACAATATGTACATACATTTACCTCTCCCCGCCGTGAAACACGTGCTTAAAACGTTCTGGAAGTCGGGGCAGCTCCAAGTTTTCTGCCTCCTGGGCCTCTTCTTTTATTTGAAAGTACGGAGATTTCTTGACCAACGGTTTATTCTGAGCAGCTAAGTCACGCTTACTTTTGTAGTGAAGGTACCGAGCCACAAAATCTCCTAGCAAATGTCCTGTTGACCGACTGAACTGTCTGGTCAATATGGGTGGTAAATCACCCAGCGGGTTTGACTCGTCTGTTAATCCCAGCTTATCAAAATCAACTAAAAAGTAAAATGGCGAAAAAGTATCAATTTAAAAAGTTTCCCTTGTTAGTAGTTCATGCATCGTACATTTCTATAGGAATCTTTTTCCTTGCAGGCTGAAGGTGCGTTTTTAAGCCCAGCAAGCGAATTAAACTAAAAGCTAATTTTTTAATGTTTTGTACCACGATTGTTTATTAGGAAGTCTAGAATAAAGAAGTCTGATGAGGAGATGTGGTGATCTCCGAAATAGCTGCTATAACTTCTACCGCTTAGACTTTGTTGCTTTTTCAATTTTTCCTAATAAACAATCGTGGTACAAAGCTCAATAAAAATATTAAAAAATGAAATGTTATTAGCCACAATAACATTGACAAATACATAGTTTAGGAAGAGCCTGCCTGAAACTATACAAAAAAGCAAATAAGCAAATGGATGTATAGAATTGACAACAACAACCACGCTGTCGAGTTTAAATAGCGGCAAATCAGCTGCACT